CCCAAAATGCTAAGTACGATACCTTCCCTTAACACACACTGTCCCAACAATAATAATACGAATGAAAATCCTATCTAATGCGGAGCAGTACAAAATCCTACTTCAAATGCCCTTAATAACTTCTTTTCACTAAACATACGGCTAATAAACCTTATGCAATAGGCTACGCTGAGAGAGAACTCGATCAACATCAAGAGCCCGAGACTTTTCAACACTCCCGCTACACATAAGGTCGACCGACACTCGATAAACACCTTCAAAAGATACCTGATCAACCAGTCTGTGATTCCTATGTCGCGTTCAGCAGCCTGGTCAGAAACCGAACCGCGGGGACGTTGATCCTCGGAACCATCACAAAGTAACCATAAAGTAGTTTCGTACCAATAATAAATCGTCTGTAATACTGGTGAGCGTAATAGAGCCTAGTCAATACAATACCCGTAATAAGTATTATAAGTGTAATACAATACCCATAATGAGTATTATAAGTGTAATACAATATCCGTAATGAGTATTATTAAGTGTAAAAACAATTGTGTTCCTGTTTAGTGTTTTTTCTGACTAGCCGATGCCTCCAAAGTATAGAAAATGGCTATCATTTCCCTCAAACTTTGCTTTCACATTAGCCTCAGACAACTTGGGGAAGACGTCTTGGAAGGTACCGGAAGGCTGCTGACGTATGAAACAGTGAGTCACAGCTCTAGATAAGGAGTCGGCAGCCTTCAAGTTCCTTGAGATGTCTTCCCTAAGCGACAACGATCAAAATAAAATTTGGAGGCATAAGCAATCGGGAAAGCTGTATAATATGTACAGATAAAATGCCATTAACAATTATTAATGATAATAATGCACGCCGTATTGTTTTAAATCCGACACCTATCCATACATTGCATGCACATAAGCCTACCTAAAATATTAATTACACAAGTAACCGTAAAATAACCTATACAAAACGCGGGTACAATGCATTAGGTTAATGGTACACCCGAAGTAGGCCTACCTAGTGTAAGAAATATGTCACTAGGCCAGTCGGCTAGGCTATAGTCTGGTCGGTAACGGAATAGGGGCTCCCCCGCGCACAGCCTTCCCCTTCCTAAAGCCCTAGAGGAGCCTCGATAGGCCTTAGACTAAGCCTAATAGGCTCCCTCTTCCCGACAATTGGAAATCAAATCATAACAAATCCTACAACTCACAATAGAGCCTAGCCACGCAACTCCTAATAAATCCTACACACTACACAACTAATAAATCCTACACACAACACGACTTATAATAAATCCTTCACACAAGTTGTGTGTAGGATTTATTATGAGCTGAATTGGATTTATTATGAAGTGCTGTGTGAAATATTTATTGTATGAGGTAAATATGATGTACTGTGAGTTCTGTGTTATTTACGACTTATTATGAGTCGTGTCGTGTGACAGCAACTCATAAATCCTACATATTACACAACTCATGGTAAATCCCTACACATAACTCATAACAAATCCAATATCCCACACAGATCATAATAAATCCACCATACCATACAACTCAAATAAATCCTGCACAATACACAACTAATAACAAATCTCTACACATAACTCATAATAAATCCTATATACCACAGTTCACAATAAATACTATATACTACACAACTCATAATAAATCCTACAAATAACACAGTTCATAATAAATCCTACAAAATAATACAGTTCATAATAAATCCTACAAATAACACAGTTCATAAATCCTACAAAGAGCGACCACAGTAAATACTCTATGCCACAACCTACAACTCAAACCCAACATAAGCCTTACAACGCAACTCATAACATGTACATTATAAGTACTCATAAATTCTACAAGCTCAATATATCCACCGTATTCTGAATAAATAACTCCAGTAGCCTATTACACGGACTTATAGGCGCTAAGCCATTACGACTATATGGCACTTGGAGGGGACGAGGATAAGGATTTGGGATTAAACGAAGGGAAGGAATGGTGCCCAACCACTTAAACGGTAATCCTATATAGTATAAATACCTATAATTAATCCTATTATAATTTCATGATACACGTATCTTCAATAAATCCTAAGAACTTCAGCTAGGCCTGCTCTTATATCACTACATAATACTTATATCAAATCCTAAATACTACACATGGTTAAACTTTAATAAATCCTACCCTAGTAATAAGCATGCATAATGAAGCCTAACAAACCACATAAGAAATCCCTCATATTATGTGGAATCCTACCTACAGTACAAGCTCCCAAATTAGATACCGTTACTTCTACTCAGCAGGCTTTCATTGCACATACTCAAAAATCCACCACATATCTGTAATAAATCCAATACCTACAATACAGGTTGAGAATAACCTATAATAAACGCTACTCAGGACTGTATTATCATTCACTGCTCACCCATCATAAATCATACATGTACCCAATTTATATGAATAACACGTAGGCTAATTCATGCAACCTACAGATACTCATAAGAAATCCTACACTAGCCTACATGTACCCCATAACTAACGTTCAAGTCCAAATTAGATTAGTCAAGCCCAACTACAGTGTATGTAGACTACAAAGTGTAGATGAGTATGGGTAAGAACAAATATTACACTGTGTGTGCCTCTATTTCTGTACACTGTTATACATTCACCTCTATTTCTATACATTGTATACACACTTCTAGTTCTATGCATTGTATTCATTCACTTTTATATTTCAGCTTTGTATACATTTACTGTACTTTTATTTTCTACACTGTATATGTTCACCTCTATTTCTATACATTCATCTCTTTGTATACATCCACTTTTATTTCTATACATATTATACATTCATCTCTATTTCTATATATATTTTGAATTCATTCACCTCTATTTCTAGAGTGTACACATTCATCTCTATTTCTCATTCATCTTTATTTTTATACACTGCATACATCCACCTCTATTTCAATGCACTGTATACATTCACTTCTATTCCTATACATCTTACTTATTCACTTATGTTTCTACATATATATATTCACCTCTATTTCTATTCATCCTGCACATTCACTTCTATTTCTACACACTGTATACATTTACTTCTATTTCTACATAATGTATACATTTACTTCCATTTCTACATAATGTATACATTTACTTCCATTTCTACATAATGTATACATTGACTTCTATTTCTACATAATGTATACATTCACTTATATTTATATATTGTATACATTCAGTTTTATTTCTACACACACACACTGTATATATTGACTTAAGAGTATTTCTACACATTGTATGTTATCAAATTAGCACACTGAACACACACATTTTACATTCCACACATCCCCAAACAGCATTTCCAATTGAAGAACGCCTTTAAGACTACCATTAACTGTATAATATGTCATACTACGTGCATTATTTACTAAAACACACACACACCAAGTACATAAAACACACACACACACACCCATTAATGGCAAAAACCTATGACATCCCCCTACACTACAGGGACCCGTTAAAAACGTACAGGAATGGCCCCCCTAACCCACTATTATTACTTCATATTTACACTATCTTATCACCGCCACACTGGCACTCATTCATGACAGATACTACAGGATGTCCAGAGTTTCTTGTTCGTTGTTTCTTGGTGTTTTAAATGAGAAGGCTAAACGGGGGAGAGTGCATGTGTAGTGTAGGGTATGAAAGCCTGCATGACTAGAGTACGTCTCAGCCTTCGTTTTAATCCCCTTTGTCTCACCCTATACTGTCGTCAAGATATAACACAAAGGGCGTCTTCCGTGATCACGTGACCTTCAAAGCTCTCAGGGTCTAGAGAATAGAGATTTCCCTTTCACAAGTAATCAGTTGTAATATCTTCCACTCGACGAGCACTACGATGATAACCAAGCAGTAATTTTACACAGAAGCCGGTGCTATTATTTGTGCTTAATGATTTTCAATTAATAAACACTAAAGGCATTTGATCACACATTGTGTCTCCAAATAACAATGACAAACACGAGTACAAGATCTCGACCTAGTGAGGCATCACGTACTTGCGCATTAAGAGTGTAAACAAACGCATCATGTATCTGCAACACTCCAATGTTTACAAACTTTATGGCATCATACCAACCCAAAACAAGTGAATATTAATTATTGCGAAATTGTTGGCATGTTCGGAGCCCTGCCCAAGGCCACGGGCATGATTCTCACAATCCACACCAACCCGTTCCAAGTATCGTAAAGAAATAGGGTCCGTACCCAAGCCGTTCCAAATATCGTACAGCACTGAGGATCCATACCCAACCTTCAAGGCGATTGTGCTACCTTGACGATCATTCATTTCGAGGGGCATGCCACACACACACACACACACAAACACACGCACACATACACACAGCGGCGGTAGCTGTGGCCTAGTTCATGTGTGGTCAAGGTGTCGGATGCTCTGGCCCACAGTTGCGTGCAGGGAGGCAATAAGCATGTAGCGAGGCACTCCATACACCAGTATACTGTCGCATTCATGAGAGTAGCAGCGATAGCGTGAGTTTTTAAATGAGTTTAGATGATGTTGTTGTGGTGTGTGGCACTGTTGCCACTGGTGACGTATGAGTTTGCGTTACATCACACACAATAGATCTTGTATTGAACAACGTTAGAGAAGAGAGATGGGCCGGGGGAGTGCGTGCGTACCTATATGATGTGCACACAGGCCGTAGGCACAGCTACTCCACCCGACTTCCACTCTTCTCTTGACTTAGATAAATTACTTACGTAAACGCCATGTCACTTCTCCTAGACAACAGCTTACAGTTAAAGGCCAAAATGGTGAGTTGGAGTGCGCGAGGAATCCCTATCTTATACGCCCATGTTGACAACATCACACAACAACAAGCCTGGAGCGGCCATTTTTGAGAAGGCAAAAAGCTTGGGCGAGGAGCAGGGAGCATGTTGATCATGTAGGCTCTGCCACCACCTGCTGCGTAGCTTACCTGTGAGCACAACGAGAACCAGGACTACTGCTGGCAGTAAGCCTGACATACTAGAAAAGCACGCCATATATGCTTCCACATTGATGAAGTTTTTCAGGGAATACAAGCGAACACTCCACCCCACCACGCACACGCACACTGAGGCTGCCACCGCTCGCCCGACCTCACCCACTCACCCAAGCATCGCAACATGCTTAATTCATGCATTTTATCACGCCAAACTAAAGCGAATTTTGTGCATTTCTTGGCATAATCAGGTTGGAATATTGTATCTGATGCTTATAAAATTCAAATAATGTAGATTAGATAACGACAAGGACGCAAACTGCTTGATGATAACAGCTGTGTGTTTGTTCGTATGTGTGTCCTTGCACCCGAACTAGGCCTCTTGCAATTTTCAGCCCTTATAATTGTTCTCTCTCAAACGCTTCAAGACTGACATGTGCGTATTGTTATTTGGCAACGCCTCTACCACCCTCCTGTGTGAAGAACACGACGTAATGCGCTCTTGTGTGCGAGATAATGGCGTAAAGGGAGGCTGTGAGAGAGTTGGCGTGAGGGTGTGTGTGGGGCCCGTGCAGGGTGGTAGGGGCTTCGTTGGGGCCATTGCCGCCTCTCTCACCAACCCATTTTTTTTACTTCTTTGGACCTCCCGAGCCATTTTTTCTTCCAGCAGCGATCGTGAATTTGATGGGGAGAGTCTGCTGTACCCGAGAGGTTGAGGAGCTCGGAAAAGTGCAGTAGTAATCATGGGATCAATATGAACCATTTGAATGAATGAATTGATGTGTCATTCACGGGATACCAGCGTGCGACATTTCAGGGCGGCTGGTGAGGGGCTCCGGGAGGAGGCAGGGGCCCAAGGGGTTGATCCGGGAGCTGAAGTAGCAGGTGTAGGGGTTCCTGTAGGGAGCTTTTGGAGTGTGGAGGGGGCATGGGGAGGTGAGAGGCCGTAGAAGAGCGTGTGTGGGGCGGGTAGTTGTACACATGCGCACCACGGGCTCCACACACCGCCCCCGCCTCCACACACTTACACCGACCCACTCAGGCACACGCACGCATGCACGCACACTTCCAGGCACGTGCTTACAGATTATTGACAGTTGCATGGCGGGAAGCAGGCAGGGTGCACACAGCTCACTCCAGCTCCCGGGTTCTCCCTCACAGTGCTCCTCCATTCCACCTCCGTCCTTCACCCTACGGCGCCCCATCTCATACACGCACATACCAACCTACACGGAGAGGACAGGCACACGGGCACGGCCAAAACACATATCCAACGAGGCGTACGTGCTCCACAGCACAGTCCACATGATTCTGAGCAGAAACAAGAGGAGGGCGGTAAAAAGAGTGGTAGCAAATGGCGTTTGTATGAGAATGTATCCTATAAGGCAATGAGGCATGCGTCAAGGCACAGGTGGTGGTGATGGCGGCGGCAGAGACGACGTGCAACACCTCCTTTCTAGTTTGTTTACAACGGTTAGCCCAAGGAGCCCCGGAAGGAGAGTTCGTAGTGCGGTACTCATGAGATGAAGTATGACCACCAACTTTACTTGTTCCTCGCCCTCATCTACTTAATACTGCCTACCCCTCCTCAATGCCTTACGCAAGATTTTATGGCTGTAGGATCTCAGGAGATTTACCTCTAGGATCTCAGGAGATTTACCTCTAGGATCTCAGGAGATTTACCTCTAGGATCTCAGATTTACCTCTAGGATCTAAGGAGATTTACCTCTAGGATCTCAGGAGATTTACCTCTAGGATCTCAGGAGATTTACCTCTAGGATCTCAGGAGATTTACCTCTAGGATCTCAGGAGATTTACCTCTAGGATCTCAGGAGATTTACCTCTAGGATCTCAGGAGATTTACCTCTAGGATCTCAGGAGATTTACCTCTAGGATCTCAGGAGATTTACCTCTAGGATCTCAGGAGATTTACCTCTAGGATCTCAGGAGATTTACCTCTAGGATCTCAGGAGATTTACCTCTAGGATCTCAGGAGATTTACCTCTAGGATCTCAGGAGATTTACCTCTAGGATCTCAGGAGATTTACCTCTAGGATCTCAGGAGATTTACCTCTATGATCTCAGGAGATTTACCTCTAGGATCTCAGATTTACCTCTAGGATCTCAGGAGATTTACCTCTAGGATCTTAGGAGATTTACCTCTAGGATCTCAGGAGATTTACCTCTAGGATCTAAGGATATTTACCTCTAGGATCTCAGGATATTTACCTCTAGGATCTCAGGAGATTTACCTCTAGGATCTCTAGAGATAAATCTCTAGAGGAGTAAGATCTCTAGGCAACAAATATATGCTTACAAAGATGTTAAGAGAAACAAAAAATCTATCTACAAGGTAAATTTAGTCACGTCTGATATGGGTGAAGATGATAACATTAAGTTCAACAGGTGAGTGAACGTGTGTGTATGTGAACGGCATGCAGGCCGTGACGACACTAAGGCAATCATTTCAACATCACAGACTCTAAAGCTCGATAACATCGTCCTTAACATTATCCATAATAAAACTTTGGATTGCATATTCAACCCGACATGGTATTATTTCAAAACTTTATCAACTTTTTTTTTATTATTATTATTTTCTACCACAGACGTGGCCAGACATTTACAATGCTAACCAGCATATATATACATTTTCTTCTGTCCTCCATGGACAGGGTTAGAGATCAGTTAAACATATAGTTCAGGGATTTATTGAACAATCAACCACAGAAGGTGATTCGGTACTTTTAAAATGCTAAGCTAAGCTAACCTAACCTAACCTAACCTAACCTACATACGTAAATACATAGATACACGGATTTACGAAAGAAAGAAAGAGAGACTAGGAAGCTATATGCGGAGAGGGATAGAAATATATCCAGCGGAGGGAGATATAGGGGAGGTGGATAGATATATAGGGAAGGTGCATAGATATATAAGGGAGAGGGATAAAGATATATAGGTGGAAGTGAATATCGATATAAAGCAGATGAACATAGATATAGGTGATGGGAGATTGAGAGATACAGGGGGAAGGGATAGATATTCAGTGGAGGAAATAGATATAAAGAGGGGAAAAGATAGCAATAAAGGAGGAAGATAGATTTAGGATAGGGGATAGAAAGATATGGGATAGGCGATAGAGAAAGAGGACGAGAAACAAAGTGGAGGCTGTGGATATGGTAATTAGGAGAGTCAATTGTAAATATTATTTATGATATGTTGTGAGTGTTTGGCAGCTGCCCAAGACGCAAGAAATACCAACGGACACACTCAGGACACACACTCAGGATACATACTCAGGACACACTCAAGATACACACACTCACGACACATTCAGCACACACACTCAGGACACACTCAGAACACACACTCAGGACACACTCAGGACACACACTCAGGACACACTCAGGACACACACAGGACACACTCAGGACACACTCAGGACACACACTCAGGACACACTCAGGACACACACAGGACACACTCAGGACACACTCAGGACACACTCAGGACACACTCAGGACACACCCAGGACACACACAGGACACACTCAGGACACATCCAGCACACACTCAGCACACACTCAGGACACAGGACACACTCAGGACACACTCAGCACACACTCAGGACACACTCAGCACACACTCAGGACACACATTCAGGACACACACCCAGGACACACTCAGGACACACTCAGGACACACACTCAGGACACACTCAGCACACACTCAGGACACACTAAGCACACACTCAGGACACACTCAGCACACATTCAGGACACAGGACACACACAAAGATTGACTCTATACCATAAAGAATGACCAGTATGAACCTGCCAGCAGCAGCAGCAGGAGCAGCAGCATGCAGCAGCAGCAGCAGCAGCAGCTGGTGGTGGTGTGATAAGAACCAGTAGAAAAAGCTGGAGACCCTGCAAGGAACCTCTGGGGGGGGGAGGGGAATTCACGAAGCAGTTACGCAAGCACTTACGAACGTGTTCATCTTTCCTCAATCTTTGACGGCTTTGGTTACATTTATTAAACAGTTTACAAGCATGAAAACTTGCCAATCAACTGTTGTTATTGTTATAAACAGCCTCCTGGTGCTTCGGAGCTCATTAACTGTTTAATAATTGTAAACAAAGCCGCCAAAGATTGAGAAAAGATGTACAGGTTCGTAAGTGCTTGCGTAACTGCTTCGTGAATCTGGCTCCTGGCCTCTATTATACTGCCTTCGGCGCTGCACTTTGATCATCTTACTGAAATCCAGAGTGCAGTCCTCGTGTGTGTGTACTCACCTAATTATGCTTGCGGGGGTTGAGCTCTGGCTCTTTGGTCCCGCCTCTCAACCGTCAATCAACAGGTGTACAGATTCATGAGCCTTTCGGGCTCTATCATATCTACACTTGAAACTGTGTATGGAGTCAGCCTCCACCACATCACTTCCTAATGCATTCCATTTGTCAACCACTCTGACTCTAAAAAAGTTCTTTCTAATATCTCTGTGGCTCATTTGGGCACTCAGTTTCTGAATGCCGTTCTTATGTTGGCCAGCCTGGCATATGCCGCTGATGTTATCCTCTTGATATGGGCAGCAGGAGACAGGTCTGGCGTGATATCAACCCCCAGGTCTTTTTCTCTGACTCTTGAAGTATTTCATCTCCCAGATGATACCTTGTATCTTATATCTGTGTGTGTGTGTGGGGGGGGGGGGGTACTAACCTAGTTGTGCTTGCGGGGGATGAGCATCGGCTCTTTGGTCCCGCCTCTCAACTGTCAATCAAACGCCTGTGTGCGTTCAGGTGTGCAATATGGAAGGAGGTGCTGCAGGGCGAGGGTGTGCTGCTGCAGGGCGAGGGTGTGCTGCTGCAGGGTGAGGGTGTGCTGCTGCAGGGCGAGGGTGTGCTGCTGCAGGGCGAGGGTGTGCTGCTGCAGGGCGAGGGTGTGCTGCTGCAGGGCGAGGGTGTGCTGCTGCAGGGCGAGGGTGTGCTGCTGCAGGGTGAGGGTGTGCTGCTGCAGGGCGAGGGTGTGCTGCTGCAGGGCGAGGGTGTGCTGCTGCAGGGCGAGGGTGTGCTGCTGCAGGGCGAGGGTGTGCTGCAGGGCGAGGGTGTGCTGCTGCAGGGCGAGGGTGTGCTGC